GTATACTTACTTCTAGCTCGGGATATAAATCATCTTTGAATTTGATAGGAACACGACGCCAAGTATGATAATGCAACGGTACCTTTGATCCCACCAGATTTGAGATCAGTCTGACAAACATTTGCCCGTTGTCCCCCACAAATCGGTACGTCCGCCCGGAGATATCAATTCGCAAATCCAAAGGATTACACTTGTTGTTTTCATACTCGTCGTACAAATTTAAGTTTCTCCCTTTGCCACGCTTATTCACATTCACATTCTTCGCTTGTGCTACATTTACATATAGAATTGAAAATTTAGAAATTTAAAACTTTAATATATCTAATACTTAAAAATTTCATGTAACTTACAAGATTGGCAACCCGATGGTACACCGTGTGCGACCCCGTGTGGTGGTCTATCCCCACCGTCTCCTCCATGTCCCCTCGCGACTTCTGCCATCTGTTTAACAAATATTATAAACATTCAAAATATATAATAAAGCTAATTATAAATAAGCAACATTTGAAAATTTAACAAATATTATAAACATTCAAAATATATAATAAAGCTAATTATAAATAAGCAACATTTGAAAATTTAACAAATATTATAAGCAATCAGGATATATAATAACTAGATTCATCACTAGAACAATATACATCTACAACATCATCATCACTATCATATTTTTCATTATTTATTTCTTCATCTGAAGAGTACGTATCACCGTCGTCATTGTCATCGTTAATGAAATCGTCATCGTTTATAGTAGGAGCAACATTCCTCCTAGCAACCACACTTGATTCACCAACATTCCTCCTAGCAACCACACTTGATTCACCACACTTGATTCACCAACATTCCTCCTAGCAACCACACTTGATTCACCTAAACAAACAAACATACATATACTAAACAAACAATACAATCATACACATAGCAAACAAACAGCACAATCAAACACATACCAAACAAACAATCCCATAGTCATACAATGATTCCAATTTCATATAAACTTATACATATATACAATCACAATTTCAAAAAAAAAATTATAAATAAAAATACTAACCTGTTTTTTTCTTTTTGCTGTGATGGCAGGATTCCAATTGTCAACTTTGATAGGTATCCTCCGGTGGTGGCTGGTGGTCACCAAAAATACACCAAATCAGGAAAAAAAAAAAAAAAAAAAAAAAAAAAAAAAAAACACGATAGCAACAAAACACCAAAACCGATCAACACTTACATGATGAAGCAGTGAAGGAGAGAAGGCCGAAGGTGGTGAACCGGAGGTGGACTCGCCGGTGGGGATGGCTGAAAATGGTGGAAGCCGATGGTGGTGAACCAATTGCAATAAATAACATAAAAAAACTCCAAATTAGGGGTAAAAATCTTGACCACACAGTAATAAAGAGAGAAATCGGGTAGAAGAGATATTACCTGGTGCTAATCGCCAGATTTTGGGAGGGTAGCTTCGATTTTTCGCCGATCGCGAGAGAAAGAGAAAGAGGCTGCGACGTTGCGTGCAAATGAAACACAGACTGTGGTCTTTTAGGTAAACCCCTATGCCAACGACATGTCGTCGGTATAGGGTTAAAATAAACGACGCCGTTTACTTTTTTTTTGCTGAAATAAAAAAAATGAAAAATAAAAAATCTATGCCGACGACAAGTCGTCGGTATAGTGTTTTCACACGGATCGCCACGTGGATTGCCGACGACAAGTCGTCGGTATAGATTCCGTAAAACTGGGTCGTTTTGATAAACCGGACCATTGAATATATATAATTGGAAAATAGATTTATCGAAAGCTATACCGACGACATGTGGTCGGCATAGGTTTTCAGCATACCGCGTATTTTTTGGTCGTTCCCGCCAGAGGTTTCGAGACGACATGTCGTCGGCACAAGTATCCGGGTCAAACGATTTTGGTCAAAGTTGGCAAAACGTGTGGCGACGACTTGTCGTCGGCATAGGCGGAAGCGACGACTTTTGTCGTCGGTATAGGTGTCGTCGCCATAGCTATGTATTCTTGTAGTGTTCTCTTTGTACAATATATATTATCCTGAACTTTGGACTGACCATGTGATAAAAAAACAATTAGACTCAAACTACACTTTTTGGTATGCTACAGGGACCAAACTTGCTCTTTACTTGTAAAAAAAAAAAAAAAAAAAAAAAATCCTAAAACGATATGAAAGAAACGGCAAAAGGCGCCCTCACAGGTTCTAACTTCTAAGAGATTCATTCGAGTTGTTGGGGCACATTGGGTTAAGGAGTAAATGAAACTGGAAATAAATATAGCCCATTTGTTGGCTCTCTCAGCTAGTCAACTTCAACGCAACGAAAAATAGCAATTCACTTTACTCTCCATTCTCCAACGAAACGTAAGTGCAATTCACGTTATTCATTGGGTTTGAGTCTCAGCTTCTCGCTCTGGTGGTGCAATCCATCTCTCTATCTTTCTCTCAACGTCCAACCCATTATAAATCAAGTACGCACTTCAAACTTTAACTTAATTCTTGTTTCATAATTTTGAAATCCCAATATTACTTTGGCATTTTTGTGATAAATATTATTATATTTGATTCTGTAATTGTAATTAATTGGTTATTTTGTCAAATGCAATAGTTAGGTTTTAACCTAACTTTTGTTTAGTAATTTTAAAATCCCCAAGTAACAATTTCAAATACCTTATTTTGTATCGTGTCATCAAATGACCTAAAAAGCATATGTACATTGATGTTTATGTAACATGAGGAAAGCAACCAGTTTCCTATATAAGAGGTTAAGTTGTGGTTTTTTTACATATGTGTTGTTTCTTGTGATACGATATCAAAATGAAAAAAACTTATTTGTGTTCATGTTGTTTATTGCTCTCTTAACTACATGCATTTTACTTTATTTATACTTTACATTTTTTGTTGATGTAATGTTAGTGCTTTTATATTCTTTTTGTATCATGGTCAAATATGAATATTTTTCTTTGACACGTCGATTCTTCATGTTTTGTTTTTTTTATTAATCATGTATCGTAGATGGTTAATGATGGTTTTGGATTTTCAAAGTGGATATATTTGTAGAAACTATGCCTGCTAGTTGAGATGTAAACATGTAAAATTATATTTTTCTTGCTTAATATGATGGATTGTTTTGTTGCAGATGATGTTTTGGTGACTTCGACACAAGAAAAGATATGTGAAACAACAGAGCATGCATTTAGTTGTGTGAATGATGGGAAGTGTGATAGCTCCTGCAAAAAGAAAGGATTTATTATAGCGGAAAATGTAATGGTATGCATCGGCGTTGTAGGTGTTTGAAGCATTGTGCTTAAACATATGCTTTATAAAACTACTTATAATACTATGTACACCAGTTACGTACGTGACTTAGTTTCGTGTATATCAATAAAGTTTGGAGTTTTTAGCATACCATGCAACTATCCATGGTTAGACAGAAGTTTATCGAACTTGATATTCACTCTTATCAACATATATTGAGATAATGCATTTTGTATAGACTTACTATACACAATCAAGATTAATAACATTTTTTTGTAAAATTTTTAAAAACGAGTTATAAAAAACAAGTAAAAAATCACAACATTGAAGCACAATAGTTTTGGCATAACAAACATCGATAGTTTGAGGTTCCTATTCATTTTTTGGAAGCAAAATGTAAAAGCGAAGGTAAAATGCAGATCTAGTAGATGTTAGACTATATATGTTCAGGTCTAGGTTTTTGGTCAAAATCACAAGAAAATACTTATACAGAGATAGGCATAGTATTTTTGCAGTTATAATGGTTCGGATCCAATTAATGTGTTAGGACATCCATAAGAACTCCATTAGTTGTATTTTTCATACAATTTTATTAGTCATTTATTGAAATCCACAAATTTCAGTGCAACATATTTCAAAAAAATAAAATAATTTGTTTAACCTCCTCCACAAGTCAAGTTCAATGCATTATATTTTTTTTTTTTTTTAAATTCTTATGGAAAAGTTCATTTCATATCATCGGATGTCGACAATATGACATCTAACTATGGTTTTGTTTCATCCACAAAATGGCAACGAGACGTGTTCAACAAGCTTTTGAAAGTTTTTAGGAGCCTTTTGATTTTAAGTTTTAAGAAGAAATACGAATAAAAGAAAAAGTTTCGTTCGAAAGTATAAGCTTAAAGTTTTTAATTGAAACAAAAAAACTTTGAATACGAAAACCACTTCAAGCATTGTTTACGGAAAAGCTCATGTGTATTCTAACAAATTACTATATTAGCCCTTAGATTAGATATGTTGTGTCTCTTAAATATAAGAATTGATTTCAATTTTTTATATAAATGTACAAAGCGAAGATTAATGGCGATAGGCCTTTTTCTTGCCTACGATCTTGAAAGAAAGTCCACTCAAGCCGATGCCTCTTTCGTTTGCAAAGGAAAGTGTGAGAAAATATTGATTGTACAATTTTTTTTTCATTATAATGATCTAGCTTATACTCAAAAGGATCTAAAAATACAAACCAGATGTTGTAGATATAACATCTTATTTATGTAATAAATACAAAGTAAATAGATTATCAACTTACCACCGGATATTTTAAATATCTATAAATGTATATGATTACATAGTCACATCCGTTGGGTCTGAGTCTCAGCATCTTGCTTCTCTGTCGTCTCTCTATCTCGCTATCGACCTCCAACCCATTCTGAATCAAGTACGTACTTCAAACTTTAACCTAATTCTTCCCTATATTAGTTTGACATTTTTTTTCATACATATTATCATATTTAAATGAGTAACTATAATTATTTATTTATTTTGTCAAATGCAATAGTTAGGTTTCAACCGAACTTTTGTTTGGTAATTTTAAAAGCCCTAAGTAACTAATTCAAACACCTTATTTTGTGTCGTTTCATCCAATGATCCAAAGAGCATATATTGATGTTTACATAACATGAGGAAAGCAACCAGCCTCCTATATATAAAGGGGTGTGGTTTCTTTATTGTTTCGTGTGATACAATATCAAAATGGGAAAAAGTTTATTTGTGTTCATGTTACTCCTTGCTCTCTTTGCTACTGGTATTTTACTTTTATTTCTACTTTACCCTTTTTGTTTATGTAATGTTAGTGCTTTTATATTCTTTTTGTTACATGTTCAAATATGAAGATTTTTCGTGTACACGTTGATTCTTTAAGTTTTGTTTTTAATTAATTATGTAACGTAGATGGTTAATGATGGTTTTGGATTATGAAAGTGGATATATTTTGAGATGTAAACATCTTTTGCATGTAAACTTATATTTTTCTTGTTTGATATGATGGATTGTGTTGTTGCAGATGAGACTTTGGTGACTTTGACACAAGCAAAGATGTGTGAAACGACAAGTCATGCATTTAGTTGTGCGAATGATGGGCAATGTAATAGCTCCTGCGAAAAGAAAGGATTCATTAGTGGCAAATGTGACGGTGTTCGTCGTCGTTGTACGTGTTTCAAGCAATGTGCTTGAACATAATATATGCTCGGTAAAACTACATATAATGCTATGTACACGAGTCAGGTGATTTAATTTGGTGTATGTTATCGATCATATATTGAGAGAATCAATTTATATAGACTTAGTGTACACAATCAATATTATTAACATGTTTTTTTCTGTAAAACTCTTAACAAGTAAGAAATTGCAAATTTGAAGCACAATAGACATTACAAATTGAATATCATCGGTTGTTTGATGTATCTATTAAAGAAAGTTGGATTATACTGAGAATCGTTTTGTTTCATTAATTTAAGATTCGCTGGTTACATCAGAATAGTTTGATAAATAGTCACATGAAAATAACAAACTAGCCTAACCTATCAGATCAAAAGGTTATCTAGAATAAGATAAATAAAACGTGACATAATAATAATAATTCCTTTACTCCCACTCAAGTTGAAGCATGAATATTACGAATGTTCAACTTGACCATGAGAGATTGCAGTCGTTCCGCGCCAAGTGGTTTAGTGAGTAAGTCCGCCAGTTGGTCTTTTGTGTGAACCCAAACAGGAGCGATCTCTTTTGATTCCACCCTTTCTCGAACAAAGTAGCAATCCATTTCCACTTGTTTCGTGCGTTCATGGAAAACTGGATTGTGTGCTATGTGTTTTGTAGATTCATTGTCACGCATGAGAGTGGTAGGCGAGTTAATGACAACACCCAAATCAGTGAGTAGCCAACGAACCCAAAGAATCTCACTCACTGTCGTTGCCATTGCACGATATTCAGCCTCAGCGGAAGACCTTGAAACCACCGATTGTTTCTTGGATTTCCAAGAAACGGGAGCTCCTCCAAGGAGAAGTAAGTACCATGTTCGAGAACGGCGCGAGTAGGGACATCCCAACCAGTCGGAGTCACTATAAGCTACTAGATTAGTAGACCCATCTTTTGGAAGCAAGATACATTGCCCGATTGTGGTCTTCAAATAGCGTAAAACACGTAAAGCTGCATCCCAGTGTGGCTGTTTAGGATCGGATACGAACTGACTCAAAATATTAACCGAATATGTTATATTGGGACGAGTGGCTTGTAAATACAAAAGACAACCAACGAGACGCCTATACATATTTGCATCGACCCGGTTTTCATTGTCACCTTTATCAAGTTTGAGGTTCTGTTCCATGGGAAAACGGCTTGGTCTGCACCCCAGCATACCCGAATCGTCCAAGATATCCATGGTGTATTTGTGTTGACTGAGAACTAAACCTTCTTCCGTGCGTGACACCTCGATCCCCAAAAAATATTTTAAACTACTAAGGTCTTTGATACTAAATTGGGTATGGAGACTAGCTTTCGTACTCTCGATCTTTTCTGCATCATTACCAACAATGACCACATCGTCTACATAAATAAGAGCTGCCACAAAAATATCGTTATTTTTGTAAATGAAAAGAGAGTGGTCAGCATGAGATTGTATGAAACCAAGTGCACGAATAGCTGTGGTAAACTTGTGATGCCAATTGCGACTTGCTTGCTTTAAGTCGTACAGTGACTTTTTAAGTTTACATACTCGCGTGTCTCCTTCTTTGCCAAATCCTTGGGGAATCTTCATGTATACATCTTCTTCCAAGTCACCATGCAAGAATGCATTATTCACATCGAGTTGGTGAATAATCCAATTCTTTTTCACCGCAATAGTCAATAAAATTCAAATCGTAACAAGTTTAGCCACTGGTGCAAAAGTATCGTGAAAATCTACTCCTTCCATTTGCGTGTAGCCCTTTGCAACAAGACGAGCTTTGTACCTCTCTATTTCGCCATTTGGTTTGAACTTAGACTTGAAGATCCATTTGGAATCAATGGCATGTTTGCCTTCGGGAAGAAAGGTGAGTTCCCATGTGTCATTATCTTCCAAGGCTTTTATTTCACGTTGCATTGCAAGCCGCCATTTGGGTTGTCTAGCAGCCTGTTTAAAACTTTTTGGCTCATTGTGAAGAAAAATAGCCGCTAGAAAAGCCTTATGTGAAGGTGAAAAATTTTTATATGAAACATAATGAGTTAGGGGATGTACCGTAGAAGCGACTCGATCGGACGCGGGTGATGGATGATTGATCGATGGGGGAAGGTCAACTTCAAAGTCTTGAAACCGGATTGGTTGACTTCTTGTTCGAGTGGCACGATGCTCATCAGAGGGTTCTAAATGTGTCGGTTGTGTCTCTACTTCGGTGACGTCATCATGTATGTTGACGTCAGCACCTTCTAAAGGTGCCGAAGAGTCAACGGGTGCCTCATGGATTACGTCAGCCCCATCACCATGTGATCTGTTCTCGTCGTCATGCATGGAAGGGTTGGGAATATCACCATGCAACGTGAATAAATCTTCATTTTGTGGTTGTTTATTTGTTTCAGCATAATTCATGGGAAATTCATTCTCTAAGAACCGTACATCACGAGAGACTATTATCTTCTTACTTTCCAAATCATATATTTTATATCCATTAGTGTCGTGGGGATATCCAACAAATATGCCAGGCTTACCCCGTTTCTCAAATTTGTCTCCCCCGGTGTCTGTGTTTCTATGATACGTCAAACACCCAAATACCCGCATGTGTTCATATGAGGGTTTTCGCTGGAACAGTACCTCATAAGGCGTGGCACCATGTAAAACTTTGGTGGGCATTCTATTAATGACATATGTGGCTGTCAATATACACTCCCCCCAAAAGGTTGTGGGTAAATTAGCTTGAAAGCGTAAGGCACGTGCAGTTTCAAGTAAATGTCGATGCTTGCGTTCCACCACCCCGTTTTGTTGCGGGGTGTGCGGGCAAGATGTTTCTAAAATAATTCCTTCTTGTGCATAAAAATCGTGCATGTCATTTGATACAAACTCCCCCCGTTGTCACATCTTACACGCTTTATTTGAACACCAAATTGTGTTTTGACCATTTTGTGAAAATTCATGAGGCGTGTGCTTGCCTCATGTTTGTGTTTAATTAAAAATGTCCATACAGCCCTACTAAAATCATCTACATTGGTAAGAAAGTAAGACGCTTTGCTCATAGACGGGGTTCTATATTTCCCCCACACATCACAGTGCACCAAATCAAAACATGAAAGAGTTTTTATTTCACTAATGGGAAAAGGGAGGCGTGTGTGTTTGGCTTTAAAACAAGCATCACACTTATTATTATCTTTAGAAACATCAATAAAAGTTAAGTTTGAAATCTTCTTGGTGGATAGATGACATAGGCGTTTATGCCAAACCTCAAATGTTGTTAGGAGAGCTTTGCTTGGCGTCGTTGACCCCATCTGATACAATCCTCCAACACGGTCACCCGCTCCAATCAAGCGCTTCGTCCCCAACTCCTGCATCACAACAAAACCAGGGAAGAAAGAAACCACACAATTCAATTCATCAGTGAGTTTCCCTACCGAAAGAAGATTGTAATCAAAACTAGGAACAAGCAAAACTCCTTTAAATTTAACACCCCCATTTAGAGTGTGTTCACCCTCCCCCGTAACAGGCACCATGTCGCCATTGGGAATGACTACAGGTGTCTCTTTAGGGTTTGGGTTTTTGTTTTCCAAAAAATCATCTCTACATGTCATGTGTTCGGTTGCCCCTGAGTCGACAACCCAACCATCATAAGATTGATTTCTACCTGCCATGTTTGCTCGTGGATGAGATTTATTGCCTGTCAAGTTTCCATTTTCTTGAAAGTGAGCGACAAAGAGCCGGTATTGTTCGCCAGTTAAGCCGGGTACAGGGCTCGTTTCTAGCTCCACACAAGCTGCCTTGGGCTTCGTTTTCTCTTTGTTGTCGGGCCACCAATCAGGATATCCTGTCAGTTTAAAACATCCTTCTTTATTGTGCCCTTCACGCTGACAGTGAGAGCACTTTTCTTTTCTTTCGTTTTCTGACTTAGGGTTTTTCTGGATTACCTTGTTGACCGGTGTTGGGTTTGTCTTTGCTGGAGTCTGTCTGAAGCTTCTCTGTCCGTTGTAATCGGCTTGAAACACTGCAGCTTCTACTCTGGTTCTTTTGGAGTTGCCTGTAATGGCTCGTTGTTGTTCACTTTCGGCTACCAGATGGTAGATAGCGCTTAACGATGGTGCCGGTTTCATGGCTAAAATCTGAGTTCGAACCACAGAAAAGTCGTCGTCTAACCCCATTAAAAATTCGTAGGATCTCTCTTTCTCCTTTACTTCGTTGAGCCGTTGGCCGATCCCACAGTGGCACCCCTCACACGTGCAACGAGGGTTAGGAAGTACGGTTTGGAGTTCATCCCAAACAGTCCTCAACTTGGTATAATACGTTGAAACAGACGCACCACCTTGCCGCAAGACGTTGAGTGTTTGTTTCAATTCGTAGGCTCGAGGTGCTCCTTCTTTCTCGAACCGTTCTTCTAGATCACGCCAAATCTCAGATAACGTGTTAGCATATCTGACGCTGGTGCGTATCTCCCTTTCCATAGTCGTCGTTATCCACCCCTTTATCATCGCATCGGCTCGTGTCCAAGCCAAGTTCAAAGGAGACTTTGTGTTTGGTTTCTTGATTGTGCCATCCACAAACCCCATCTTGTTCTTTTCCAGCAAGAAATTCTTCATCTCTTGCTTCCATTCTCTATAATTACTATTGTTCAACACATCGTTTACCTCTGCTTGGGGTAATCCGATGGATGAATATAGTATGGAGAGCTTGTATCTATCTCGTTTTTCTTGTCATCACCAGACGATTCCGACTTATCTCCTGCCATTGGAAGTCTGGTTATGTATGGATCTTATGCTCTGATACCATAAAGAAAGTTGGATTATACTGAGAATCGTTTTGTTTCATTAATTTAAGATTCTCTGGTTACATCAGAATAGTTTGATAAATAGCCACATGAAAATAACAAACTAGCCTAACCTATCGGATCAAAAGGTTATCTAGAATAAGATAAATAAAACGTGACATAATAATAATAATTCCTTTATCTATTAATATTTTTGAAGCATAATAATTCTTTAAAGGTGTAGGTAAAATATAGATCTAGAAGATGTTAGACTAGATATGTTCTGGCTTTAGATTTAGATAAATAATATTGGTATTTTGGTCAAAATTACATGAAAATGCTATGTAGATAGGCATGGTATTTTTGCAGGTATAATAGTGCTGATCCAATTTATGTGTTAGGGCATCCATAAGAACTCCATGAAGATTAATGGGTGAGTATTTCAATACACCATATTTCAAATAAAAATTAAAATAAATTGTCAAGTTCAATGCAATAAGATGTGTTCAACATGTATTTGAAAGTTTTTAAGAGCCTTTAGGTTTTAGATTTTATGAAAGTTTTTAATAGCCTTAGGTTCGGAAGTATGAGCTTAAAACTTTTAATTCAAACAAAAAATTTTGAATACAAAAACCACTTTACGCATCGTTTATGAAAAAGATCATGTATATTATAACAGATTATTATATTAGCCACTAATATTAGAAATGATTTCAGATTTTTATATTTATGTAGGAAGCAAATATTAATGGCAATAGACCATTTTCCTGCATACGATCTCAAAAGAAAGTGTGAAAAAATGTTGATTGTACAAAAAAATTCATTATAATAATCTAGCTTACGCTCGAAATCTAATCTTGTCAAAATCACAATCTTGATCGTAGGATCACACGATCCTAGATATGAAAACGAGTCGGATCGTATACAGATTGTATTTGTAATAGGATCGCAGGTAATATCGTAAGATCATAGGGAGAATGGTAGAATCATGATCCAATCCAATCCTACCTTCCCTTGATTTTTTTTTTTTTTTTTTAAAGATTTATCATTTTATATCTTTTACCCTTTACCAGTTTACCGTTTATCATTATGTGTTGTGAAAATGTACTAAAATTCTTATAGTTTTTGAACGGAAAATTGAATTTCTAAGGTATTTTTCATGTTTTAAATTTATAAGTTAAAATTATGTTTTATTTTGTAGGATCATAGGATCTCAATCCTGATATTACGCCCGATCTTATATAGAATTCCGATCTTAACAAACTTGGATCTAATAAATACAAACAGAAAGTTGTTAATATAACATCCTATTTATGTAATAAATAACACATAAGTTTTAAATATTAAGTTATTAACATCTTATCTTATTTATCTTATTTATGTAATATATACATACATATATATACATACACTCCTCAACAATTCCGTATGAAATAATTTATCGTGATATTATAAACATATATTTTCATTAGACAGCTCCGAGTGTGGCCACATGCTTAAATCTATATCAATTAATTAACAAGCCCCACCGATATCACACGCAGATAATTAGATTGATAAATATCATATATCACTATGTGTCTTACTTGAAAACTCAATTCATTTGGATCCATAAGGTGACATTTTGAGGTGGATCTACCCAATATTCACAAACAATAATAACATGTAAATTTAGCTCTTCTAGCACGACTTCATATTAACCCTCCATAAATATAACCAATCTTTCGCATTAGTCATTGTTAATAAATACTAAAGTAATATGACCGACTATGGATCCAGAATAGTTTGACAATTATTCATGGATTTAAACATGCCAAAACACAACACATAACGTTGATTAAAACAATCATACATATTCATCAAATCACAAACAAGCACCAAATTCGTCAAATTTGTCATTTCTCATATCAATATTAGCACAATAATGATACCACCACATTGCAACTGTTTTTAATTTAGCCTTTATGGCTATGAAACAAGAAACCCAAGAAAAAACTATCAACAAACAACATAAATGCAACAGAAACAAGAAACATTGGGCATTTGAAAAAGAAGAAAAAGCAAAATTTAATCTGAATATAGCATAGTAACAGATGACAAAAATAAAAACAAAAGTATTGCAAAGAGTAAAAAACAGAGCTCCTAAATGTTACAGATGACAAAAATAAGAAGCAGAAATAAGAAAATCATGCCTTAAGTCTTAAGAGTTGCAGATATCTCTCAAGTATTGGTGGCCCTGGTGTAGATCTGCTGGCTAGCATGAGCAGATACCATCCTGATGGCGCCTCTTGCCATCAAATCCTTGATTGCCTTGCGTGCCAATGATCCATTAATCTGAAAAGAAACAAAATAAAAACACTCAAGTGAAGAACTTGTAAATGTAATAGCAGAAATGGTTAGTGAAGATGTAGAAACATTACCCTTAATCTGTCTGATAAAATTGAAGGAGTGATGAGTTTGAACTTTGGTGCTTCGGTAAGAAGCTTGTCATATGTGGCCTTGTCGAATAGAACCATGTTGTTCACCTTCTCCTTTTGCTTTCCTTTGCTCCACTTCTGTAAGAGAAAGTGTTAGCAACTTTGACCTAGTTTTACTTCTCTTAATCAACACTCAAAAAGGAATACAACATATTTCACACGCATGAATGATTCGTAAAACCAAATTCATTTTAGCATTCGTAGGCTACTGACACTACGTTTACAGCGAAATCCATCTCAATTTGTCTTTTGAAAGCTCAGAGTTGGAGATCGATGATCAAACTATGGAGAATTACGTTGCTATTATTCGGAAACTCGAATCATGAACAAGAGATTGTAAATAAAAGTATACCAAATCACAAGTAAATAACCACAAAAACTAATCGAATAATAATAAATCCAACAAAAACGTAAAATTTCAAACAGTAGAAGTTTAAGTAAATCGAAAATTGACCTTCTTTTTCTGCTTTCCGCCGCCGGACTTGGCGGGCTTAGATGACGGTGGAGGGGCTTTCTCTTTCTTAGGCGCCTGATACACACAGAAAGAAATTTAAACTCCATGGAAGTGAATATCAAGGACAGAAACTAATATGAGAAACGGAGTGATTGATCACAAAGTTCTGTTAACTTACCATGGAATCTGATGATGATTTTGTTACTCTAGGGTTCCAAAGCTCGGAGGATACGATTAGCTGCTGCTGTTGCCGCCGCACTAAATGAAAGTCTGTGTATACTTATAAAATTAGGGTTTTTGAAGGTCGTTACTGAGCCTGCGGGATTCAAGTCGGGTCGGGTTCATATATGGATACAATATCCACAAAAATATATATGGTATACTTTTTTTTCCTTTTTTTTTATTTTAAACTCTATATTTTTCTCTGAACGATTGTATGGTATATGAATATTTGTTGATAATACTTAATATACATATGTTTAATCTATATCAAACAACATTTAATTTAGATTATTAAATTGTAATTTATCACAATCGGCTAGTTGTAATAGTTTCTCTTTATCAAAAAGTAATATAAACAAGTATTAGAGTAACTCAGTGCGTTACGGTGGAGAACTCGTTTGAAAATAATAAAGTTGAAATCTATAAAAAGAAATTGTGTAGGGGACCAAACCTAGATTTGATGCATGGAGTAACTCATTTGCCGTTCGTAAAATATTATTTACAAAATTTAACAACCTATATATACCACGGAGACGATTAAATCATATAAAGTTGATCAGAAAAATATCAAAATAAAATTTTGATACAAAAAACGGACGAAAATAAGACTTGAAAGTGTATCTTAAAGAAATTAAAAAAAAAAATTATTAAAAAATTATGTAACGGGTCAAAAATATAGCTTTAAAATATAGCAAGGGACTACCGTAATGTATGAAATACTAATAATTTAACTTTAAAATTATAAAGGTGAAAACTGTTAAATAAAAATTAATTGAGAGAAAAATATGTAAATATGAAAATCTTTGTGACCAGAACCTAAATGATTATTTTCAGAAAGTCTTTTGTTTTATATTTTATATTGTATGCTTGACAATATATAACATAATTTGATTTTAGTAAATTTGGATTTGAAAATAGAAACTCGAAATGAATAGTTAAACCTCTTTACAAACCATATCCAGTAATATATATATATATATATATATATATATATATATATATATATATATATAATTTGATGAATGAATATTGGGAATTTGTCTTTTCGGGGAACATAGGTTGCAAGCCAATGTAGGGAATGTAGAAATCATGGCTTAAAGCTAGAGGTTAATTAATTAATTTGGCAAAGAGATAATGCTTGATAAGATAAGATTTTTTTAAACGGTTTAACACATTGATTACTCAGGGTCGGCCTAAGGGTAGGGCGAGCTCGATCGTTCCCTCGGGCAGCTATTAGTGTATACAGTGCACACCATAAACCAAATGACAAAAGCATTTTCGGGTGGGACCCATCTGGTCCCATTCTCAATGTACACCAAAGTCAAATAAAGCCGGCCCACCATCTCCTCCTCCAAATCGCGCTCAGCGACTGTTGGTAAACAAACCAAAGCAGCTTGAACACAAACTACCTTCACCACCGGTCACGGGTTAAATGTGCTCCAACCAACCAACAATGACCTCCGGAACCACCTGTTGGCCACAACAGTTTCAGCTCACAACCATCTTTCCCGGTCACTTGCAACTTGACCTGCAACAAAGCAGCAACAGAGGAAAAGTGCAGCCCCGATCATCATCGGTCGTCTCCAGCGCACATATCCACCATTGTTGAATCGGAACCTGATACCGCCGCATACGCTCAACGACGACCACCCTGCAACAGCAGACCTAACAATCGGCAACTGACACCATCGGATTTCCTGCAACCAAATCACTCCTAGCTGCCGGTCACTCTCAGCAAACACCCAAGCTCCGGCCACATATAGCCCCGACTAAGCAGTTTTTCGGTGACTGAAACCAAATCCAAGGCCCCACAAGCCAAGAACCGGGCTGATGTCGGACCATTGACGGTCTGCGCTTCCTGACGTTGCCACTTCGACGAAGCCGACGGCAGCAAGCATCGCCGGTCGCCACCTACTTACCCTTCACTACCCATCGACCCAGCGAACCAAGAACTTGTAGACCTCTAATTATCGATCCATATGTCGATCTCTACAGATGGCGACCTCACCCCTCCACAGATACCCCCACATCTGATTTCCACTGTAGCGTGACCACCGCAAACCTCCTCCGATTCTGGCAGAAATCGCTGGTCGCCTACCTCCCTTAACACCAGTCACTTCCGACCTGGTCTAGGGTACCACCAAATCATCTCCGGTCCCCAATCATCGCCACAGGACGCAACAAACCAACGTCACTGGCAGAGATGGATGCTCCGATAATTGAAACAGATGATGAACACCGGCGAGTAACCACCGTAAACTCTCAAGCTTCCAATCAATACATGTTTTCTTGTTGGGGGTTTCCTCTTCAGTGAAGACGAGGGTAACGATAGTAGGCAGAAGCAAACAAAACGAATAGGGTGGGCCCGCGTGGTACTCTTCCTTTGATACTCTTAGCCCACAATATGGTTTATCTCACACAAAACAAATGAAGAAAAGGAAAAATAGCTTGGGCTAACAATTATCCTTCAAGTGCACCCCATGTGATACATTGGACCATGGTCCACAATCAGCCTACACACAAAGATAAAAAGAGATAATAGAAACTTGGGCTGATTATAAGTTAGGTGGCGGCCACATTTACATTGTGGGCTTTTCTTTTAAAATAAACATGTCCATATTACCAGGCTAGCTCAACTGCAGCAACAACAGTAAAATGACCCAAGTCTCGCAATAATAATTAGCTAATCAGCCGTTCAACGCTCAAGCATCACGATTTCTTTCAAGCAAGATACGCTTTCAAAATATACGATGCGGTCCGGACTCAACGTCTTCAAAAAAATAAATAAACAAATAAATAAGTAAAATACATGAATTCGGGCTATAGTATTTGCAGGGTCCAACAAAACAAAAATGATTTCGGGCTGTAGCACATTCGGGGCTCCTACTAGGACGTAGGGACCATGACACTCTAGATGAGCTCTTTCAAGTTGTTAGGCTACGTCAACAAAACATGGGCCAATTTTACAAGGCAAAAAATAGTGATTTAGAATACGATCACGACATTTTCAAAAAAAAAAGGGAGTGGAAGGAGTAGCACAACACTATGCAAAGGTGTTATTTCTATTTCGAGTAAAGAACTAAACTGCATAACGAGTTGACGTTATATACGATTGCGCATCCTTAGGAAGAGATTGGTGTTATAAGTGAAGAATAAGTTCCATGGTCCAACACCAAACGTCAACCATGTTGCCTGGCTATCAGCAGCCGTGGTGGCCAACTCCAGGAAGTCTCGCTACCCAGCTCTCGCCACTCATATTGACCGGCCCCTGATAGTCTCGTTGCTTAGCTCTTAGCAGTTGCGCTGCCTGGATCTCATCGGTCATGCAACCCGAACCTCAGCGGCTATGCGACTCACAACAGCTGTAAATCCCAATCATCAGCAGTTACGATCGTCTGACTCCCAGCAGTCGCGCTGCTCTGCTCTCGCCAGCCGTGCTACCCAGTTTTTGTTAGTACTTGGGTCGCCTAGTTCTTTCCGGCAGCTATGTATCTCACCTTTCAGTGGCTATACATCCATCTTTCCCTTTCTTCACCTTCTCTAAAGAAAAAAAGGGGGGGCGAAGGGTTGGTATGTCACTATGTAGAAATGATTTTTATTCCGAACGGACAGAGTTAAAGTACATAAAGAACTGACATTATGCATGACAGTTCATCCCCGAGGTGACATTGGTATTCCGGATTGAAAGAGTAGCCTCGTGGTCCAACTCTCAATAGTCGTGTTACTCACCTATCGCTAGCAGTTCGCTGCCCGGGCCTCAACCGCCCTGCTGACCAGTTCCTAACAGCAGTTTCGTTGCGCACCTCCTAACAGAAGCTGCACTATCAAGCTCTAAGTAGCACCGCCACATAGCTATCCGCAAACAGCCAAGACACCGAGGCATCAATTATTAGTACGACTAGCGATGCAGCAAAGCATCAGGTACCATTCCACTTTAACCCAGACTGACCACACAAGCTAGACACATAGATTGTAAGGTGCTACGCCCAATCATGCGAGGTTCAGTACCCTCGCCTCGAGTCGCCTGGCTTCTCTGCCCGACTCCATTATAGCGACACGCTCCACATGCAAGGTTCAGCACCCTTGCCTTGAGCTGCCTGACTTCTCAGTCGGACTCCATTATAGAGGCTTACTCCACATGCGAGGTTCAGTACCCTCGCCTTGAGTCACCTGGCTTCTCAGCTCGAATCCATTATAGCGGCAAGCTCCGCATGCAAGGTTCAGTACCCTTGCCTCGAGTCGCCTGGCTTCTCTGCCCGACTCCATTATAGCGGCACGCTCCGAATGCAAGGTTCAGCACCCTTGCCTTGAGCTGCCTGACTTCTCAGCTCGACTCCATTATAGCGGCATGCTTCGCCAACGAGGCTCAAAGGCTTGCAACCTTTGCCTATATGAATCCACACAATGCTTTCCCGCGTGATGTACTTACGATCGCTGGAAGCCAAGCCCCATCCATTCCGCGCGATGCCCTCTCGCGTAACATCTCCATGATCGTTGGCTGCTAAGCCCAAGCTATTCTCCTAAGTCGCGCAACATAAGTCGCGCATCGTCGCGCGTCATAAGTCGCGCATCACAAGCTTATTCTACGACTAACACCATGATCTCGGTGCTTCCTCTCATACAGTCATCATGGCTCTCTTGTGCTCGGACGATCGATGAAGTGTTCTCCACATTACAACCTGCTATAGTGAGGTTACTCTCCAGCAAGGAGGTCATCCCGACATCGGCCCTGCTGCCTACTACCTTTCAACATCTCTGTTTCCTGGCTCTCGGAAACGGTCTTGCTATGCAACTTTACCTGTAGCCTCGCTGCGTATCCCTCAGCATCACTGTTGCCTGGCCCTCGGAAACGGTCTTGCTGCGCAACCCATACCTCTGACCTCACCGTTTATCCCTTAGCACCTCTGTTGTCTGGCTCTCGGTAACAGTCTCACGACGTATTTCCTATCAATAGCCTCACTGCCTGTCCCTGAAGAATTTTGTTGTCTGGCTATCGAAAATAGTCTCTCTGCGTGACCCTCACTAGCAACCTAGTCGCCTAGCTCTCGGAATCTCGCAAGTTTTAGAACATTGCGAGGGTTGGATGAGGATGCCTTGGAAGGGCTAGAGTTTTGCTCGGGGTTGTAGTCAAGTAGTTTAAGTTGTTTGGCGTGTAAGGGATGATAAGAAACGATTTCGAGGACGAAATCAAATTTAAGTGGGGGAGAGTTGTAACATCCCGTTTTAAGAAGAGTAACTAATTAATAAATCAGGAACCCCGGGAAGTAATTATTATTATTATTTTATATTATTAGAGCTCAAAATTAAATAACAATTAGCGGGGTGTCAGTTTCGGGGAGCCAAATGACAAGATTTGAATCTCTAGGGGTTAAAGTGTGATTGTGAGACTTAATTTGTAAAGATTTTCATAAGTCAAGGGCTGATTGGTAACATTTTGGACTTGGATTGTAAGGGTTTTCAGAAGGAAGGGTTAAATGGTAATTTACGGATCTTAATTGAGAATAATTTATAGAGGAAGGGGTTGTTTTGTAAATGTTGGACTTGTAATGAAAAGGATTATTGGAAACAATGGTTTAAAGGGTAAATTAGGGTTTTGTTTTGAAAGAAAAGGGAAGAGAGGGACTAAATGTGTTGTTATGGAAATTTGTTCAAGGGATCGGGTATTTAATCTCTTTACCCGTCACCACCTAAAACCCTAACCCTACCTTAATACTTCAGCCGCCAACTTCACCATCCTTACACCCCCTCTCCAGCCGCCATTAATGGTGAACCACCGCAATCTCGGATCCACTGCTGCATCGCTGGCGTCGAAGTCAGAAACCACCGTAGCCACCGCCATGTCAACGACCACTGCCGTCATCTTTTAGTGGAGGCTGAAGACGGAAATCGATGGGGTGCGCCATTTCAGTCGCGAGTAGGGAGGATTGCATCTCTGCCATTCGGGTGCGAGCATCGCCATCACCACCTCGCTGCCGGAGGTCGAGGGTAAATAGAAGGTCATCGTGAAAGACGACGGGAGTCGGGTTTCGCCATCGGGAGGGGTTGCTTCTTCATTTTCTCCGATTGTCAGGCACCACCGCGGAGGTGGCTGTGTTTGGACTCAAGTCCGGCGTGTAATCGTGTGGGTGGATGTGTTGTTGGGTTGGGGTCAAGTGGAAACGCCGCCACCATAGCGAGGTGGTGGCTATCGTCGTCGCCGCCGCTGCTACTGTCGTTTTGGTGCTGCTGCCGCCGCCGTAAGCCGCCGGGGGGATGGTGGCTGGACCTTTTGAGCAAATAAAGAGCATGTAGGTGTATGGTTTTGTTGTGTAAGGATTTGCTGGCTGGGAAAAAACATGAACAACCACCACCACCACCGTGAGGTGGTGGCTGCCTCCATGCACCACCATGGGTGTGTGTTTCTTAGTGGTTATGTGTGTGTTTATTTGAAATTCAGCCTTTATAAAGTGTAATTAGAATTTGTGATAATGAAAAGAAACCCTAACCACCACCGTGAGGTGGTGGCTGCCGCCTCCTGCCGCCACCGGCCGCCGTGTCGGGTGGCGGTGTGCTTGCTTTGTTGTGATTGACTCGTTTGGGGAATGCTTGGCCAAAGTGGGCCCAATGAAGCCCTAATGGGCCCAAGGAAACCATAATTGATCTACTAAAACCCTAATGGGCCCAATAAGACTCAATGTGACCTAAAAGCCCAACCAATGGACTAATGAACTAGTATTGGGTTGGAAAACCCTAATTAGGGTTTGGAAAACCCTAAGGGCATAAAACCCTAAATTGTGGAAATTGATCGGGACACACACACGCGGGAATTATTTGATAAACTTGAAATATTAAATAATAATTATTGTCAAATTAACCTAAGGCAAAAATGGACTTAATGGATTAAGTCCTTAGTGGATTAAGTCCTTAATGGGTTAAGTAAGAAACACTTAACCCTAATCATCATTTTATGTGAAAGCCCTAATCTCGTGCGGGCGTTGAATTGGGCTTTCTTATTGGGCCTTGGCGATTGGACTATAGGTGGGCCATTCAAGAACAAGTTAATGGACCAAAGTAATTAGAGGGGCTTTAGGATAAGGCCCATGCAAGGACTTGGGCCCAATTTGGAAAGTTGGGCCATATGTTGGGCTTTGGCCCATTATCGACTTTTGGGCTTTTATAGTGTGAGTTGGACCTTAGGCTTGGAATTAACTTTTTCATAATGACAATTTTGCCCTTACTTTTTTCTTTTTCATTTTTTATTATTTAAAGATTTTTTCAGATTAAAAGAAAAAAGAAAATTTTCTTTTTCTATTTAATTTATATAATTTTTAGACAAAATTAAAAAATGGTCCCTGTGGTTTACCAAAAGTCACAAAGTCAGTCTCTGCTAATTTTTTTTGATGCAAATGGTCCTTGTGGTTTGCAAAACTTGCACATATGACCCTTTTTACTAACTCCGTTAGTATTCAGCCATTAGGGTAAGGGCATTTTCGTCTTTTCAGGTATAAAGGGACTAAATTCGTGATATATGGTAAACCACAGGGACCATTTTTGAAATTTGTTTGAAAAAATAATTATGTGGCCAAAGGATGGGGGGAGGGATCAAACCTGAGACTTCCACCTATTAAATGGCCAAAGCCTTAACCAGTTGGGCTGCATGTATATTTGGTTTATATTTTCCAAATACTAATTTATATAATAAGTAGCACGTTAAAACATAAGCAATAAATAAATTACAAAACATATTTTTTTACATATATTTTTTTAATAAAACAAAATGTATTTTCGTATTAAAAAAAATTACAAACAATTTGTATGCATTTTTATGTATTTATTTTACATAAAAATGTATTTTTTGTCTTTCGATAATTTTTTTTCCGTAAAATATATATATTTTATATCTTCAAAAAATACGTTTTCGTAAATATATATTTTTTTATGTCTCTAAAAAATACGTTTTCGTATATAAAAACGTATTTCGTAAAATATATTTTTTTATATCTTTGAAAAATACGTTTTTGTATAACAAATACGTTTTCGTAAAATATATTTTTTTATGTCTTTGAAATAATAATAATTAACACTACTCATGATATAAAAAAATGTATAAATTCTTTTGGATCGATAGTTCTAAAACCGGTGTTAATTATTATTATTATTATTTTACGAAATATATATATTTTACGAAATACATTTTTTTTATCCTTCGTAAAATATATATTTTTTATATCTTTAAAAAATACGTTTTCTTATAACAAATATGTTTTCGTGAAATATATTTTTTTATGTCTTTGAAATAATAATAATTAACATTACTCATGACATAAAAAAATGTATAAATTCTTTTGGATCGATAGCTCTAAAACCGGTGTTAATTATTATTATTATTTCAAACACGTTAAAAAAATATATTTTACAAAAATGTATTTGTTATACAAAGACGTATTTTTTAAAGACAAAAAAATACGTTTTTATGTAAAATAAATACATAAAAATGCATACAAATTGTTTGTAATTTTTTTTATAATACGAAAATACATTTTGTTTTATTAAAAAAAAATATGTAAAAAAATATGTTTTGTAATTTATTTATTGCTTATGTTTTAACGTTCTACTTATTATATAAATTAGTATTTGGAAAATATAAACCAAATATACATGCAGCTCAACTGGTTAAGGCTTTGACCATTTAATAGGTGGAGTTTTCAGGTTCGATCCCTCCCCCCATGCTTCAGCCACATAATTATTTTTTCAAACAAATTTCAAAAATGGTCCCTATGGTTTACCATATATCACAAATTTAGTCTCTTTATACCTGAAAAGACGAAAATGCCCTTACCCTAACGGCTGAATACTAACGGAGTTAGTAAAAAGGGCCATCTGTGCAAGTTTTGCAAACCACAAGGACCATTTGCATCAAAAGAAATTAGCAGGGACTGACTTTGTGACTTTTGATAAACCACAGGGACCATTTTTGTAATTTTGTTTAATTTTTATAACATAAAAAATAGAAAAATCTCTCTCTCTCGATTTTATAAAATCAAAATCAATTTTACCATGAATTGATACTAAATCTCCATTTAGAACAAACAGGGAAAAACGATACAAAGAAAAAACCCAGAAGAAACTCTTAGCCCCCACCTCCATCGTCTCCATCGTGGTCCTCCTGCTCCGCCACCCTTTTTCTCGTTGAAACCCACCTCCAACGCCAATATCATTTTAGCAGCGACGTCAATCTTCACCGCCATCTCCCTCGTTCTTCAACTTTTCTCCTCACTGGTGCTTGTTAGCAAGAAGCGTGCTCCAATCTGAATGTATTGACTGGGTTGTGTTTGTAATTAACAGGGAAACAGAGTAAGAAAGGTGATAGATCTGATCGACTTCAAGTAGCAAGGGCTCAACAACATCGTGTCAAATTATCTCAAATCTAGGGTTCTAGAGCACCCAGCTATCGACGAAGGCGGAGATGGGTGGTGGTGTTGGTTTGAATATGAAGAGAGGAAGAAGATGATGATGTTCGTGAGGAAGAAGACGGGTGCACTCCAGGTGCTCGACCTTACGTCTAGCTTAGTCTTCGGTCCAATTCCTCCGTTAATTGGCTCTCTAAATCAACTCAATCTTCTACAACAACACATAGCCGGAGTATACAGTTAGCAGTAGATAGTTGGTGAACCTAGTACCCAGCATGTTGTTAAAGATGTATTTAATATCAGTTGTCACGAAAATGTGTAAAAAATCGAAAAGTGCTGTTTGTGCTTGTGTAGGTGAACTGTAAATTTAAATGTCCGTTCGTGAGTTATCGAGTTAAGGTCGGTGCCGAATCACAACATTTTCAAGAACTCTAAAACATTTCGGCAGATCGGAAGGTGGCTGTAAGTAGGTGAAGATCCGTTCAAGTTGTAGGGCCGGTGTCGAATCACAACAGCACATAGCCGGAGAATCATGTGCCGGGGCACAGTGACAGTCCGATTTCCAGACCGCAGGGTTGAACGGAGCCATGGTGTCCGGCCGTCGGTTTGTGACTGATTTAGGAATCGGTGGTTCAGTTGGTATTTGGGAGTCGAAGAAAAAAGGAGTGACGAGAAGGAAGATCGGAGAGAGAGAGAGATTTAATTTTAATTTTATTTTTTTAAAATCTGAAAATCAGAAAAACAATTAAGAAAAAAAGAAAAAATCATATTAACAGGGATAAATCCGTCATTTTGAAAAAAATCATAATAGATTGGACCAAACAAACAACAAAATGAAAACTTTGGACTCTGATGCTAGTTGAAACTTTTTTGGACCAAAATGACAATTTTTGACAAACCACAGTGACCATTTGTGCAGTTTTGTCAATGCAAAATCACAAAACATAAGAAAACGTCCATGGAGAATCAACATTTATGCATATCCTTCGTGTTTGATATTTCTGTTTTCCTTATGTCAGATATTATGGTGTTCTTTAAGAGTCAAACGGATTATATATAGTAATGTGATGACCCATATATATATGGTGGTTTAAAAAAAATTGTCATCCAGAGCTAATGGCAGGGCTAAAATAAAAGATTGTTCCAAAAAAAAAAGTCTAACTTTAAAATAAAAGATAAAGTTCCATTGGAGATGCTCTAATGCAACCATTGCATAGCATATACATTCCACCTATGAACACTACATAATTGAGATGCATAATCAATCAATAAAAACAAAATTATAGGTGAAATGAAGCTAAATAGATCACATGAAAGGGCAACATCTTAGACCGGTAGGGTAAAAGAGAATCTTAGGAGGGTCCATGTCCAGAGACTAAAGAGTCGTGGGCATCTTATTTTTTCCTTTTTCCGAAGAAAACTAGGTTCCAGATGATGGTTTTTCACTTTTATATTACCTACCAACAACAGCTAATGTACGATATTCTTTTCTCAAACTAAATATCAGTTTCTTTGTCAAGCGAAATAGTGGACTGAAATACGCAAACGTAGCCTAATCAATAAAGATGACAATTACTCAAGTGTATGCTTTACCAAAAGGAATCATACAGATACAGTAGCTTATGGCTGACTGGAAGTCATATGTTGTCATTAGTATATAATTGGAAGAACACTAAAGCTAAGAATTGAAGGAAAACTGACATGGGTGCTCAACAGCTGATGCTATTAGCCGTGCTTCTTTTTTCCTTCTGTTCTCCTGCATCGTTTTCTCTAATTAGCAACAACTTGGTTTCAGGTTATCTTTCTCTTTCTCTCTCTCTTTACATTAATATGATATAGATTTTAAAAACTCATGATTTCAGAAAAACAAAGAGTTTTGTGATCACTTGTACTTTTTCTTGTCGACTGTGTGTGGATCTTTCTGTAGAAAAAATACAAGACAATAGTATATATGTAAACGCTGTGAGAGGTGGTGGTGGTGGTGGTGGTGGAAGTGGCGGGGTGCAGGAGGGAGGAGATGGTGGTCAGGCGAACTCCTCCCCACAAGGAGGCGGCAATGGGGTGGTACCTGTATATGCAGCCGGAGCAGCTGCAGGTCAACGTAGAAACCACAAAGGTGCTGCTTCAACTTATAACACATGTTGGAAATGGAGATTTGCAATACTCATAGCCACGTCAGCATCTCTTTTACATATCACTAGAAGATGAAATCCCCTTTAATTTCTACAACTCTTGTATTAACCACTGGTCTACTTTTATTGTAAAAAACAAGAAATACCAACTTTAATTTTTTTTTTGTTCACAATATATAAAGGATAAAGCATGCATCAACATATGTACATAGTGTAAGAAAATTCATAGTTGGATCAATTACTCAAGTCTCAACAACTAAACATAAAGTTTGAGTAAAGTTAACAGAGCACCCTTGTCTTTCCAAAATTGTCAAAAACAGTCCTTAAACATTGATTTATGTTAGGGCATAAGAACATAACTGTCATAACTACCGGGAAGTATAGCCGAAGAAGTCACTTTAGATCTAGAATCAGATTTCCGAAGTTGTGCATGAGATTCCGCTTGTTGTTGAAACATCTTTACAAGCTCTTGTAACTCCATTTTTCTCACCTCAACTTCCTCTTCCATAACAGGGTTTTTTTAATCCAAGGTAAAGTAACCCTATAAAAATCAACACAATTCCTAGAACCCCAAGAACACATGAAAACAAAAGAAATGCAAAAGGTGAATTTTCAGATCCGGGAATCCCATCCACATTTATCCCGAAAAGTCCCGTAATAATCGAAAGAACAAGTCCACATCCCCCAAACACTCCCAAATTATGCGTCACCCGTAAGCTTTTGTCCTGGCAAAAGAGAATTTGTTAGTATGACAGAACAGGTAATACTCCGTCTGAGACTGATGTCAATGAAACAAAAATTACAAATTTGAGTCTCACCCAAAAAGACGAATAAAGTGGGACCCCCGGTTCCATCTTTTTTGGTGAGATAAAAAAATTGCAATTTTCGCAGGACAACTGTACTACACCTGGTGTAGTACAGTACAACCTGTACTGCATATAATTGTGTGGGACACAAAATATCCAAAAAGATGGGACCACTTGTTCCACCTTTTTTGGATTGGACATATGATTGGAATTATGTCAAACACAGTACAACTTGTTATATTTACCTGTAACCAGGCGCGGACAGTGCTCTGCATGACATCTTGTACTGTGAACAGACGTCCACGTACGGCTTCTTGTTCCTCAATCATTTGTCGAGTGCTTTTTGTTATTCCTTCTAATAAACGTTTTGCTGCGTTACCTCTTAAATGTTGAAGGAGTTCAAAAACGATTTCTTCTCTTGCATGTAAAGACCATTTTACCCTTATAACCTTCAAGAAAAAGAGATACAAAAGATAAATTCATATTGGGAATGGACGTGAATATGGAATAAAAAATAGAATCTGTTCTTGTGTCAATATATTTCTATTTAATTATTTAATAATTTTTTGATTTTTGTAACTGATGATTCCATATTAACAATACCTGTGCAGATAGCCTTCTGATTTCTTGGTTTAATATTATGCTGAATAGATGCAAATCCTCATGGTTTCTCCTAAAAGTGAGCAGCTAAAAAATGTAAGAATTTGAGCATTATTACATAACACAAGAAGTGAAAGTTTCATTTGAGTGAATTTAAGAACCTGTCCATGAATTTCAATTCAACTTCATCAGCTGCTCCAAAGATGTATTTTCTAAATAGTCTATTAAACCCAAAAAATAACCAAGATTACTAAAAAGTAAAAGATCAAGAAACTCAACTATAATCAAGATTATCTAAAAACTTTGTAAATTAAAAGTTCATATTTTTTGTAAAGATAAAAGAAGCCTTTTCATTATTTTTTCAAAAATGAAAAAGTTCATATTGTGAATGCTCTAATTTGGCAGATAAAAGCAAAGAAAGGATATTCCACCTGTCATCCCATCTGGCAAGGCGGCTTGCTAAGAGTGCTATAACTTCATGAATGGTTTGAGGCAAATTACCACCTCCTGCAGTAAGAAGCTCCTGTTTGAATCAGTTAATAAAGATTAAAATAAATAAATTCAAACAAAACAGTAATAACAAGACTGTTGTATACAGAAAAACCTGGACTTCTGAAACTCCTAGGACATTGATGTTTGTTCCAGAACCTTTAACATGTAATGCAGTAACTAAAAAGTTCTGAGCTTGCCATGATCTTAAAACAACTGGAATGTCATCTTCTTCAACATATGGATCACCTGCTGATTGTCCTAAAAGCTCAAATAACAGTCCACCTGCAACCCTAACAGGAACCTCATAAAGAAGGTGTTTCATTCGCTCACTTATAAGCTTGCTTTCATCTCTTAAAGCAATACTGATAGCTGGATGTAACCACTTTGATGAGTTAGTTAACCATGACTTCACTGAATGATGTTCTGCATCAACATGACACCACCATGTGGGACCCACGGGTCGTTCCCTGTAAGGAACAGCAATGTCTGCAACTGTGACTTCATCATCATCGATTGCAAGCTCTGTATGTTGAGTTTCCCAGCAGCCATTGACTTGTATTGACTCCACAAGTTGAGTGATTCTTGACCAACCAATTGGTATCCAGTAATTTCCAGTTTGTGTATCATCTAAAGTATCAATTCCATCACCATATGATGAACTGGTTCTTATGGTTTTAGATCCATGTTTCTTTCCACCGATTGTATCTTGTGGTTTATGCTTTTTGTGGCCACGTAGAGCTTCAAAAGCACAAATTAGTCCATCAGTCCATAGGGTACAAGTCTGCAAAGCATCCTTACAGCTACCCGTTTGATGTTTATGATTGTCGTACTTCTTCATATTGTTCATGGTTTCACAAACATCACCAGCTATCCAATCATCGGAAGTTTGAAGGATACAGTGCCTGAAATCATCAAAGCGGAAGCGTTATGCATCTACGGTTCAAACAGAAGATACTTTCAGCGTCGATTTAAACGAGTTCTCTACGATTTCGAGGAAATTTAGGGCAATTTCATTGAAGTTTGTAACGATTAGAAGATCTCCGTGCCAAGTGTTTTACAGAACTTGTAGCAATTTTGAAATATCACTCTCATAGTTAAAACTGGAGCGATTTCATTATACCATGATATGAAAGCCATTTCAAGCCTCAAACATTGCAATTCTTCACGGCGTAAACTCTATAACTGCAAAATTGCTCATAAACTTGGAGAATTCAACAATGGAACACTTTTCTAATTTCTTAGCACAGAGAGAGTACATACTAGACTTTCACATAAATCTACATTAACAAAACTGAAACTTTTTGAGGTATTTGCCGGAATCATACGAATTTATGCCTATTCTAGCATGGAATATGTGGAGTATCAATTTGAAGTTCAAAATTCCCTAAATCAAATTCCTAAAGCAGCTCCAAACTTAATACGTACTAACAAATACATTAAATGATGATAATAGAAGCAAGATATTACCGATTTCAGAATGGATAGATGCAGATAGAGCTTCTTTGATGCGTAATTGTGATTTTTTTCCTGCGGTTTGTGAAGGGTGGCAACTCTAACAATCGCCACCGTAACTGACGCACTTATCGTCGATAATCGGTGGCAAAAGTACATATTGATGATTAATTAAACATATTACAAATTAATTGAAAAAACATACCTATTACATATTCATTAACCGGTATTTTTATAAACATATTATAAAATAGTGGTACAACTCATATATTATATGGGTTTATCTAAAAAAATAAATAAATATGAATACCTAACAATTTAAAAAATTTAAATTTATAAAAAGAAAAATATTTGTAAAAAGAAAAATATTTGTTTAAAAGGAAAAATTAAACAAACATGTATTACATGAGTTTATCTAAAAAAATAAACAAAATGAAGATTTAACAATTTAGAAAATTTAAATTTATAAAAAAAAAATTAATTATTAAAATTGAAGTGTTTATTTATTTTTTAAGTTTAAACTAATAATCTAAATAAATAAACAATTAAAATAATAGATTCAATTTAGAAATTATAAATAAATTTGTATTAATGAGTTTGATATACATTTATTATTACATTTAAGTATTATATGAAATTTAATAAAATGAAAAAAGCCACAAAATGACACTTGTATATAATTTAATCCAAATTTACCATAAAATGACATATGACATAATACATAAAAAGATAAGAAGTAACAAAATTATTTTCATTTGTTAGGAAAGATATAATCACACCATAATAATAAAAAAAAAATCAATGTTTTTTGTAATGTGTATGTGACATCCCCAAAATCACGGCCAGAAAAGACCGGTTTCATTTATGCTTTTAAAATAATTTCAGAGTAAATCCATTGATTTAAAAGAGTTGCGGAAATTTGTCCCCAAAACAAAACATGATAAAATAAAGTTTATCAAAACATTTCTTAAAGAAATGTATTTTCATTATATATCAAAACTCGGGATGTCATGTTCCGATACAGACCAAAAACATAAACAATATAATATAGACCTTACAACAGTTACATATAACTACTGGTCTATAATCCAAAAATATATTGACAATGTCATCCAACTTATGCTCTCGCGCCACTACCTGTAATACAGAGAAACTGAGTGGGTCAGGCTTGGGAGCCTGGTGAGCATATAGGGTTTTCAACCCACAATAAATAAATATATTTAGTTCATCAACCAACAATAACCTGATTATCCATTACCGTTATCCTCACTTTATGTCCCTAAAACAACAACTATTACATGGGACCTAATCTAGGATTTTCATCGGGACGGACATTACTACAAAGGGGTTTCCTTAACAATAGATGTCCTAAAGGCAACCATGAGGGGGATAGAGTACAACAAATGAACACCCAAGTTCATTAACACCTACAGGTAATGAGTCTGCTAGCGTTCCACTGGACTGTCTAGAAAAGTCTGTGGTCGTCATCTAAACTCCGCTAGATGACTGAATCAGCAACAACAACGAGGCCTCTCATCATTTTATTTTATCACACACCAACTGTCTACCCATGTTCTACCCAACATATTAGTAGATAAAATATATGCATTTATATACAGTTTAAAACATGTATAAAACATCCATTCAACAACTAGTTTAAATAAACAATTAATATATAAACACATAGCACGTATTTTATAAAGAATACTTCGTATCTATGTGTTAGAAGAAAACGAATATACACTCACTCTTAACATATACTTAATACATTCAAACAATACTTGTATTAAAATCATGTTTATGAAAGAGACTATACACTCACTTGATCAGAAGATGATCGGACAGCACCTCGTCTATTAAAATAATCTTTTCCGATAAAAGCGGGATGCTTTCTTGAAAACCGGGCTTCTTGCGGGCAAAGTTTCGGCTCAGAAACTTCACTTCTCGGGATCTTCGGGGATTCGGAACTTGCCTCGGGTCTCGAGAATAATACCGGGGCTTCGGGGGTATTTCTTGCACGCAAAACGAGAAAATATGGGAGAGAAAGAAAGATTTTGAGCAAAAAAGATCGGCAGCCTCGCATGCCCTTTTATAGGGGCTGAACCTCGCACGTACGCTGGGCGTACGAAGCTCTACGCGGGGCGTAGTTCGGATCAGGCTTCCAGGTGGCGAACTTCGGGTGGGGCGACGTGGCCTCTTCTGGACCGAGGAAAGCAGCAGTACGTTGCGCGTACCCATCTCGTACGCAGGGCGTACTTCGGTGTCGACATGTACGCATGGCGTACCTCCTTGTACGCTGGGCGTACCTCGCATCCCCAGGCTCTCTTCGGATAAGCTTTGGTATGCGTGCCATGATCTTCAAAAATACATAACTTTCGCATACGAGCTCCGTTTTCGACGTTCTTTATATTCACGCGTAGGTGAGACTATGCTCTACAACTTTCATTTAGACTTTGTCGGCTAATTTTGAATTTATTTTTATTATATTATTTTTAGTAGGCCGAGATAGGAAAACTCTGTTATAAAGTCATAACTTCTTCATCCGACGTCCGTTTTCGTCTGTCTTTTTACCGATGGGCTACTAACGACGAGATCTTCGATTCTTGTTTAGATTATTTTGGCCAATTATCACTCGATCTCGATTTCGAGATTTCGGGCTGCATACCGCTCAGTCGAAACTTAGAAAAATCATAACTTCCTCATACGAAGTCAGATTTAGACGTTCTTTTTATGAACGCTCTCGGTTTAATGCATTATACAACTTTCGTTTAGATAACTAAGGCTAGATATCGCTCTATCTTAAATTCATATTTTACGTCCTTCAGCGTCGTGCCGGTTCCGTCGCGAAACTTCGACAGGTCATAACTTCTTCGTTATAACTCGGATTTCAGCATTCTTTATATTTTCGGAAACCTTGCCACGACCACTACAACTTCATGTAGAGATATCGGGCTAATCTAACATTTCATTTTGACGCTTATTTTTTATTCTTAATTAAGTTAAGCCACATAATTTAGCATAAAACACATAATACTCAAATAACACATTCTTACTATTTCAAAATGAGTTACAAGGGTTAACCTAGACTATTATAACAACATTAATGCCTAGCCCAGAAACACGGGCGTTACAGTGTATATATTCACCAATGTGTATATATGAATATTATCAATATTCACAAATGTGCATATATACACAATGCACATTTATAGTTTTCACATCGTTTTTTTTTTCGTATTTTTTTTTATCTACGATTGGCCTAGACGTTGATTGTTAAGTTATTTTTGAACAAATCATTGTTTCTTAATACACTTGAAATGTTGATTTTTGTTATTCATTTTTAACCGAGAACCAAATAAAATAACCTAAAAACCGATTTACACAAACATTCTTTGCTTCGGTTTCGGTTAATATTTTAGAAGTAAAAAAAAATGATTAAACCTAATTGAATAAACAGATAACCAATTAAAATGACGAATAAAACCCAACATACATTAATAACCTAGTCTAACAGTTTAGTTCTTAATTATGAAATAAGAAAAAAAAACATGAAAACTATAAATATAAATATATGCAAATTACAATAAATACTTAAATAAAAGTCATTTTTTAATTATGGTGGTGTTGGTTTTGAAAAAAAAATGGCCAAAAAAATCTCAAGTTTTACATAAATATTGATTCTCAAAAGAACTTTTAACTTTGTTCACATTTAGTCTTTTTTTTTGTATACGATATACTAGCTAATTTGTTGAAACTGTTCACATTTTACCCTTGTAACCTACATCAATCGTTAACAAGGGTAAAATGTGAACAATTTAAACAAGTTTGATGGTATATGGTGTATAAAAAATGACTAAATGTGAACAAATCGATAGTTCGTAACCCTCCTAAGTCATTTTTCCTAATAAAGAACTAATATTTTTCCATCCACGCGTTTTGGCTGCACCAAAATGTTGTTATGAAATGTAACATCCCAAAAATAAGGTAAGTTTTTCCATTTTTGAAACCAATCCACAATCATAAGTGTTTACAAAACATAATTTCCAAAAGTCATAAACTTGAATCAGAGTATCCCAAAATCATAATCTCATAAACATCTAGGATGATGTATATGATCAAGCCTTGGCCTTGCCCCTATCCTCTCGAGTACCTGAAACCATAACAATCAAACTGTAAGTCAAAGCTTAGTGAGTTCCCCCAAAATACCACCATAAAACATAAACAACATGCATAGTGGGTCCACAACCATCATACTGGATTACCCTTGAGCCCACAACATGAGTCTCGTTTTCCCACCTAGCCCACAACTCATGTCTGGATTGCTCCCGAGCCGACAACATAAGTCTGGCTTGTCATTCCGGCCCACAACTTATGTATGGTTTGCTCCCAGGTTTGTTGGCTTCTACACAAAGCAGTATTGCCTCAACCCAACCGTACTATGTCGACATATGCAATAAATAACATATAACCAGGAAAAATATATTCATACAGATCTAACATATAACTACAGCATAGCAACATCCTATATACCAGGATACATAACCTAGTGGCCGACATTAGTGCCTTCGACCTACGAGTACAGTGAGGAAAACTCACCAATCACCTCACAGTCTGAAAGATAGCAGAAATGAATGTTGCTCCAAGTGACAAATCTACAGGCCACCTATACAAAAAACAGTGAATTTAATATCAAACAATTTCTCAAATTACCCAAAATGGCCCTAAGTTAAACTTGGTCAAATTGTTGGTCAAAGAGTCAAAAAGTCAAAGGAGGTCAACACAGGCCGAGCACGCTCAGTGTACTCAGTCACTGCGCTCACTGTAGTTAATCCCTTCCTGATTACGGGGCTACATCCTGGTACACTCAGCGTACCACCAAGTACGCCCAACGTACTCATCCAGTTTCATTTTCCTTCATTAAGTGCTTATTCCATTAAGATACCACGTCCACAGCTCAGATCTAGTCCTAAATATCAATCTAAGTCATAAAGTTTCCAAATTTATGACTTTTCATGGCTAGAAGGAGTCCAAACACCAAAAGCCTAACTTAATACACAAACCAAATCATCATAACTCTTGCATAGAGGGAAGAAAGGGACCAAAATCACATTTTTATGACCCAAAGCACCCAAAAACGTCTGAAAGGACAACTCATTTGGATTAGAGTAAGCCATAC